CTGGCCAATGTCACCCTCCTTAGCCCCATAATCTCTGTGAAGCCCTCAGAGTCTTTAAATTGAGAAGTAGTCCTGGAGCTGTTTTGATATTTCACCCCAGTCCCTATTTCTCATCTGTTTGCATGCATACCACTTCTTGGTCAAATAATTAAATTTAAATTGAATAAGAATTCTTAATAAGGGATAGAGTCTTCAGTCAGTGTGGGCTGATTCTATGAAGATTCTTGCTCGATTACCTCTCTCACCTCCGGGAATGTGGCACATCTGCTGGACAGAGAGGGAACAGCGGACCTTTCTACTGCATTCTCCCAAACCTGCCCAAACCCCATTTGTCCTTGGAAGGCTTCCCCAGCCACTCTTGCTCCATCTTGTCCCACTGGGCTCCTAGCATTTGTCCAATGCCACTATTCTAGCCTGTTCACATCAGTTTCACTACAGCTATCAGAACTTATGTCTGTCCTCCTATGAAGATTGTGGGGTGTCTGTCTCAGTGGCAGGGACTATATTTTTTTATTATTATTTTTATATTTTAAGTGCCTAGGATAGTTCCTACACTTTTTCTTCTCCTTTCCCTTCATCATTCTGGCACTGTCCTAGGTGCTGACTTTGAGGTCAAGAAGTATAGTCTCATTTCTCAAAAATCTCCAAAGTGTGTGGGGGAGGCAAGTAAGTAAAGAATACAGCAGGGGTAATGAGGGTATGGCAGGAAGGAGCCTCAGATGCTGTGGCACTCAGCAGAAACTCATACTGGGAACGGAACGGGGAGAGGTTGATCGGGAAGATTTGGAAGAGATGTTTATGGTGAGTCCTGTAGGCCAATGGGGAGTTAGCATGGTGGGGAGATGGGAAAGGGTCATTCCAGGCAGCGGCTGCTATATGCACCTGGCAGCTAGAACCTTGACTGCATCTGAGGGGCGATGATAAGTATGTGAAGAAGAAGGGGATATATGATGCCAAAGTGGCAATAGATTGGGGGAGAGGAGTTATCACTTTGTGAGGGGTGAAATGTCTATTACATTGTTTTGTACACCTGAAACTAATAAAAAAAAAGAAGGGGGTGAGAGAGGAACCAAAAGTGCTCACAAAAGCATGTGATTCTTAAAATACTGTGTCACCAAGGAAATTCTGCTGATGGGATAGTCATAGGCAGTGAGGCTGGAAAGTCAGGGTGTGACTGGAGTGTGCAAAAGCACAGGGTGCCAACCTAATGGGTTAGGATTTTATCTCATTGGCAATGGGTACCTAACAGATCTCAGTCTTTCTGGCCCTGAAATCTTGTAGACTTATATTTAAATCTGTTGATCAAGGATAAAATGTAAGAAAAAATCATGTAAGTTCCTACGTAGCCAAATTCATTGTGTGTTTTTTTTAAATGGCTATGAAGATGATAAGGAATATACTAGTTTAGAAGAGAAGTAATGAATAAATCAAAAGAAGAAAACAAATTAAAGTGAGAGAAAAGAATCGTAAAAGAGAATCACTTTCAGATAAGTTAAGCTGAGGCAAAAAATGAGAAAGAGTTTGTAAAACATGAGCACTGGGCACTGTGCTCACAACCACATATACAGAAATAAATCTTCATTTAACACTTTATTAACCAAAGTATTTATCTTTTGATAGCAATGTTATATACTGCTTGCATTCTAGCTTTAGCCACTTTAAAGAGAAAGGGTACAATAGACTTCAATTTTATAAGGTTTTAAGAAATTATTTCATATGCAAAATTAATATATATGTGTGCCTATATGTGTGTTTTCTTTTTAGGTCAATGTGAACCAATTACATTGGAACTCTGCATGAATTTGCCCTACAACCATACAAATTATCCGAATTACCTTGGCCACAGGACTCAAAAGGAAGCATCCATCAGCTGGGAGTCCTCTCTTTTCCCTGCACTTGTTCAAACCAACTGTTACAAATACCTTATGTTTTTTGCTTGCACCATCTTGGTACCCAAGTGTGACGTGAATACAAGCCAACGTATCCCCCCTTGCAGGTAATATGGGGTGCCCCTAAGTGTCCTCTTTCCCTCAGGGAGACCCAAGGGAATGAAGACTTAGTGTGAGTTTAGACAAAGTGCATAGTGTGCTAAGAAGCTCTCTGTATTTAACAGGTTTCCTATTTAAAAGGTAAAGGAGGAGGAATTCTAACATGAATACTTGAGTGAGAATTCATGGCTGAAGTATGTACCAAGTAAGGGCGGTATGAACTCTCTTTGATAATAGGTCATGTACTTTAATAAAATAAAATGACATTATGTCATTTTGGTTGATCAAGAAGTATTTTTTTAAATGTGAGTTAGCAGAAGAAGGGGTGTAGTGCCTCTTTCTTGTGGTGACACTGATGTGATTAAAATGCTGCCTTCTGTTAGCCCTTAAAAGTTGGAGACATTACACAGGAGAGGCCTGAAGGAGACATGACACCAGCCTCACAGGCTGGACAGGGACTAGGCGTTGCCAATGACTTTCTACCTGCTCGAATGAAATTGTACCTGCATTTCAAGGGTGCAGCTTGACTTAGGACATGAGTGATATCTTATGGGTTAAGAGCATCACCATGGAGTCCACTGTCTGATTCAAGCTCTGGCTCTTCTCTACTTGCTGGATAGCCTGAGACAGATTCCTCAGCCTCTCTCAGCCTCAGTTCTTTTACCTGTAAAATCAGAATAGCAATGGTTGTTGTGAGATTAAATGAATGTGCATAAATGTGAAGTGCTTCCAGTTCATTATAAGCCCTGAATAAACAGTAGCTCTGATGATAGGACAGAAACACAACTACTCAGTGGCGGTTTGATCCCTCTTATGCCATGTGACAGAGGACGTGCATGCCCAAGATGGCTGTCTTGGAGGTGGGCCGCTGCTCTTCCAGTGCTGTTTTCCATCAAGGGGTGAATCTACAGATGTGCTTGTCTATGTGTGACTGGTAACTATGGAAACCATATGTTGGGATCAGAAGTCACTCAGAGGTTTAAGACAAAGCAATAATATCAATATAGAGGACAGATGGGAACACACTAAATTATATACTGAATCTCAAATCGATGACAAGGTAGGGGCACCTATAGAGTTGAGACAGGAAACAATAAAATTTCAAAATGACTTGGGGAACTGAACAATTTATACAATATTATACAAATATAGAGAGCAAAGCTTAATGTTGGCATGTGCAAACATAATTCTGAAAATGTCTGTTAAATGCCTTTTAAAGTATTACTAATAAAACATCTACCAATTTTATGTTAAAAAGTTATTTCTAAATCTTATTCCACTTTTGCTAAGGTCAATGATAGTGAATAATTGATTTTGATACTAATTAACAAATTTTTGTATTTGACTTTCTTTTCTATGTATATAAAAATTTCCCTAATGCAGTATTCTCTGGAACAAATTTAGATTCACATAATTTATCATTTTAGGGCTTAAGTTTCATATTAAAATACCAAAGCTGAGATGAAACATCTTTCAGTCAACATTTTGGTGAACTTATTTTAGATACTTTAGTTCTGTTTCTTAGATTTACATATACACATACATCTTTCATTTTCACTGGCTATCAAAATGAGTTGAACATTTTGATATTTATTTGTGAGGAAATTTTTTATATTACGATGAGAATAATATAATGATATGTTCATAAAACAATACATAGTTGCCTTTTTCAAGCCTGTTAATTGATCTTAAAATTAGTCTTTAAGTTATGAGTCAGAAAAATCTACCATTATCAAGCCGTTACTATGTGCTACATACTTTAAAGTACTTCTGCCATCTCATCCTCAAAATTACCTTTTGAGGGAGTTCCCCACCATCGGGGCTGCTGGCTAGGGCTGAGCAGCACGCAGACAATGAGAAGAACAGAGCCCCCTGCGTATTGTACTATTTCCATTTTATAGAAAAAATATAAGAAGCGGTAGAATCAGGCACTATACAGTCTTCCACATAAATTAGGTTTTATACCGTTAATTTAAAATATAAGCAGCAACTGAGTTATACACATTTTTTATAAATCTGCAACAAAAATATTCGGCCAAACAGAAAGTGACTGAACACTGATGAACTTCCCATTTTTACAAAATTAATATGGGAATGCCATGGCTTTTTCGTCTCCCCAAATTCCTAGGCTAAACCAGCATCAAGTTATGTTCTGTCTTACACAGACTTAAATCTAGACAGAACTTTCTCTAAAGCTTCCCCATTTAATTGGTAACCATTCCCTACCTTGTTGAAATAAACTTCTAGTTTAAAGTTTACAACTTCTGAAAAATAAAAATGTATTTGAAAGGCAATAAGAAATTTGCCTAAGAACTTACTTTGGTTAGGCCTACTTTAAAAAAAAGTATTTAACTAATTTCTTGGTAATAAATAGGCAACACCTTGTTTGGTTTTGGTTTTTTTTCCCTTAGGAAGTAAAGACACCTTCCGTGAGGCATGCTGATACCTCCATTTACAAATATTCTGGGTACAAATGAAAACACACGTGAAAGCACCTAGCACAAGGCTTCGTATATCTTTTCTTTAAAAATGAAAGCAAACTTTATTTTAACCACCACAGATGGGTTTGGGAGAAGTGCCAAGCTTTTCAACAATATTGGAAGTTGAAGGAATAGAGGCAACGAATGCCTTATGTAAGCCAGGTTGGCACGTGAAATGGCTCATGTGGCTGGTCACTGGATGGAGAGAGCTCCAAGGCTGAGGGTATCGTAGAGATTCCACGACCGTTCGTGGTAGGCTATCCAAACTGATGTTGGGGACTTCCCTGCTTGGAATGGAGATACTGGAGAGTATGTCTGTCTGAAAAAATGAAAGAGAAAATGAGAAAGGCAAACTGCAGAAGGCAACCTGAGTCCTGGATGTAGTTTAGGGCACCAACTTGCAACTAGTAGACACCCATGTCCTGGAGATGTAATGCACAGCATAGTGAACACAGACAACAAATTGTATTCAAGTCATGAAATTTACCAAGAGTCTAGGTCTTAATTATTCCAAAGGCAAAAAAAGAAATGATAGATACTAACTAGAACTACAACAGCAATCTTATTATAATATATAAATGTATCAAATCAACATATTTTATGCCTTATAGTTTACACGGTGTTAAATGTCAAATACATTTCAATAGAAAACAAAACAAGGGCCGGCCGAGTGGCACATTGGTTAAGAGCTGGCTTGGGACGCTAGAGGGCCCCGGTTCGGATCCCACATATGAGGGCCAATGACACTGCCCTCTACAGCTAAGATGCTGAACAACAGCTCGACCTGGAGTTGGGCTGCTGTGAGTCACAGGCGCCTGCAACGGCGTGGGCTGCAGCCCCTGCTGCAGTGGGTTGCCATGGGCTACTGTGTGTAGCCGGCAGCCAGCGTGAGCGGCCAGCAGCCACAGTGAGCGGCCATCCAGAAGCTGGCGACTGATCTGCCTCGCCCCGGAAGAGCGCAATGATGGTGCCAACTTGGGCCAGTGAAGCAACGTCCTCCACAACTAGACTGAAGAACAAAACGACAGCAACTTGTCTGTTCCCCTTACCCCAATTCCCCAGCGCTGTTCTCATACCCCAATTCCCCAATTAAAAACAAAACAAAACAAAACAAATCTCTATATTTCTGCAATGAAGTTTCTTTTGGTGGTAGTATATTGATGGAATAGATTCCCTTTGTAGAGATAGTACTTGTTTTGGTTTCTAAAACACCTATTATGTATATGTACATCTATATATTTTGGTTAAAACACACACACATACATTACATCTATATATTTTGGTTAATACACACACACATACACACACCCCAAACACACACACCACAGCACACACGGACACACATACACCCACACAATATTGAAATCCTATATAGATTCCTAACATACGTCTCAGATGTAGCAATTTCTGCTTCTAATGTTTTGCCTTTCTTTCTCTCTTAGAGCACTGTGTGAGCATTCCAAGGAACACTGTGAGTCTGTTCTTGGGATCGTGGGCCTACAGTGGCCTGAAGACACATATTGCAATCAGTTTCCAGAGGAAAATTCAGACAATCAAACCTGCCTAATGCCTGATGAAGATGTGGAAGGTTCATTTTTAAATTAATTTCAGTGGGGCATCTAACATGGATGAATATATTGGCTACCTTTTCTGAGGTCTTTCTGTAGCTATTGTTGCTGTTTTCTATTTAGTTTCCAATCAGGCTGGATAGGTGAGTGACTCTAAGAGCTTGATTACTTTGGAGAATTTGGTGCTCATCTGTTTGTTAGACATTGTCTTCATTTTAAAAATAAATTGCAGAGATGAATTTAATATTCCAGGTATTCATTTTAACCACACTTAACTCACAGAGCCCATTATACATGGATCCTGTTTTTATTCTAGGGGTCCTGAAGGTAATGATCAGGCCTTGGATCCTTCTTGTGCAAAGCAGTCAGAGACCATGGCAATACAGGATCTTCAGGTAGAGAAATAGAATCGGGCACCTGTCCACCAGGTTGGAGAGATTAGGATGGGAAGCAATTTTGACACATTAAGGGCAGCTGGGTAGTTAGAAGCATTCACTCCACAGGACATTTTAGACTCTGGCAATTGTTAGGTTGTCCATTCAGGAAGATAGTTAATTACTGGAAAGTGTAAAGACACCAAACAGCTGATCTGGAGAGATGATTACATGGATGAAGGAGGAAGTTGCTGATAAGCAGACAGAAGAAAGCCATGTTAATTTTGGCTGTTTCAGCTTGGCAGAGGACCATCCTTATCTTCAGTAATAGCTTCTCAATCACATCCCACATGTAAATAGACAAATGAGCTGATAGTTCTGGGTTTTCTGTCTATTGACAGTAATATGGCCCATTGTTTTTAAACAGAATGTTCACCAAGTCACTTCAAGTGTGGCTCAGGACGGTGTGTTCTGGCTTCCAGAAGATGTGATGGCCAGCCTGACTGTGATGATGACAGTGATGAAGAAAACTGTGGTATGTATATGAGATGGCACTTTTCCTGAATGTACACTAATAACTGGTTAGGATAAGACACTGTGTTAAGTAAATGTCAACAACTCACTGATCATCCTAAGTAGTGATTAAGATTGAATACTAATATATTTTCTTCTTAAATTATCAAATGGCAAGGCATGAATTGATGTTTTTCCTGTTAGCACTATTGATTTTTTTTATATTATACTTCCATTTATAACCTTGGTGATAGATGTGCAAACGCTTCGTAAAAAGAGAAACGCTTCACTAATGTAAGGAATTATTTTTATTATTAGAGATTATAAAGCAGTTTTCTATTTTGAAGTCAGAATAATAGCATCTTTGCGTATGATTCCCATGTTGTTAGATAGGCGTCTAGATACACACAGACAGAGTTCAGGCTCCAATGTTCAAATTTAATTGGGATTTATTTTCATGCCCTCTCTGATTTTGTCTCTGTTGGCAAAGGATAAAACTCTTCCTGACGTTTCTGCCGTTAAGCTCCAAAATCACCAGTGGAAAGGCCAGACATGCCAATAGTAATTTAAGTGGAGCTAATTTCCATTTCATTTCCCCACAAACCTTTGTACTTGTGACCTCAGACTGTGTCCGGGCATAGAAAACAACAATGCTCTTTGCTAAACAATACTGTGTAGTTAAAGCAAAATGATGGGAGGGCTATCCAAAGAATAGTTTGGTTATGATTATTTAGTTTTTTCTGCTTAAAAAAATATTCACACTTTTCCATTGAAAGCACCTAAGGCAATCCATCTTTGAAATCATTTTATCCTTTTGGCCTTTTAGGTATGAAATATTTTCTTTCTCTCCAAAATGAATTTTCCATAGTAAACATTGCCTTTCTGGTCTAGACAAAATGTCACAAGCAATCAACGGAAATCCCATCAGCTGCTATAAATATGGACAAGTGCATCTTCTAGCGAATTAGAGCTGTCAAAATGATGGGTACAATGACCAGGGATAATTTTGTTAGGAACATTCAGTGTTTTGAGAAGCTACTGTTGTTGGCTTGTTTGTGGTCTTTCTGTAGAGAAATAAATAAAAATTCATCGAATATCTCTTTTATAAGTGATTTATTGAGAATCTACTGAATTTGTTTGCTAAACTATGACTTTGATGGGTTATGCATGGTATTCTGAGATGCAGTTTTAAATGGATTTTTTAGATGATTCAAAGAGGTTACATGGTACTCTATTGGGATGGCTGGACCTAAACTTGCAGTAGGAGACTAAGTATTTAAGAAATGTAAAAGTCTCGTGTAAAAAAAAAAGAGGTTTACCAAGACTAAAAGGTCTGAGTTCTAGAATATATCCTGCAAAAGAGAAGTTCAAAGCACTATAGGGTTTAAATGACCCTAAAATATTAGGTATCTCATTAAGTAATGAGTTTTCATTCATGCTTTAATTATACAATCAAAGGCATAATAGAATTATAGAATAAATTGTCTAATCCCTAACACACACTCAAAATATTGATGGCATTCCTGAGAATTCTAGTTAAGGAAAGTTAAAAGTGGGTAGGAAATGAGTATATTTGGAGTTATATTAATTGCTCCAGCAGTATTAAGTTATAAGAAAATCTCATTATCTTTTCCAAAGCGACTGATAATAGAAAATTTACATACATTCCTCTTTGGGAGGCAGGCATATATTTGAATGGGCATGTCTGATGCTCTGAGAGGACGTGACACTCAGAATCAAATAAGGAAGTCATGTGGTGGAAGGCTTACAGGAGATCTATTGGGAAACCATCCAGTTCCCATTTTGCCTGCTTGCTTGGTTTGTCTTTCTGTGTTCATGGACCTGCATCGGCATAGCATCTAGTAATGCAAATACCAGTTCCAGCAAAGCTTCATGTCTTTCTGATTTATTCTGTCCATTGTAGAGTTGAAGACAAATGCTTGGGCTTTACTCTCACACATCTTCAGTTTTTCCCAGGATGTCTAACAACATTATTGGGTTTACCCCTGAAAGCAAGACTTATTTAATTTAGTTATAAAATAATTGATGCCTTGGAAATCTGCTTCGTGTCTCTTTGGCACATCTGCAGCAAGAAAACATGGTGGCCAAAGCACACCGTTAATAAATACACTTTTAAAATATATGCATTAGGGCTGGCCGAGTGGCTCAGTTGGTTAAGAGCTTGTGCAAGAGTATTAGCTCTGAGCAATAGCGGTTCGATGCCCAGCCCGAGCTGAGTTGCCGCTGAGCTGCCAACAGGTAGCAGGATGGCTCAGCTAAAAAAAAATTTTTTTTAAATAAAACAAATTAGAAAATAAAAAATATATGCATTAGAATTTAGCAATGAACCATGTTCTGAAGTCTCTTGCTCTTGTCGTAAAGTTTTGTTGTTGAAGTTGTTTCGATTGTGTAATTGTTAATGTAAGTGACAGCAATTGAAAACATCGTCAGTATTAGAAATGTTTTCAGCAAGTGTTTGGAAGAATGATGTGAATCTGAACACATCATGCCAGAATTGCTTCACAGGAGGGGAGCCTAACAGATGGGAGTGGTTTGTAGACTCAGCACTGCGTCATTAAAGAAGCCTTACATTGTCTTGAAGCTTGAGGGTTATTCATTGAACATATATAGATGAAGGTGTCCATAAAACTAGCAACTTGATGAAACAAGTTAATTTGCAATCTATTGTAATATTTCAAAGCATTTATATCTAAGCAATGGAGAAAAGGGCAAAGAAATGAACAAGAATGATATAAAAGGAAGGGGAGCTACAGAAAAGAACAACGGGATTGTATTTCTGAGCTTTGCTTTCATGCTGTAGATTAGAGTTTGTGAGATTGAGGTTAGATCTTGCTAAACCTATGACCACAATTTGGGTGAACTACCAGCGGCAGCAAGGTGGTGCCTTTGTTGTGATGTGAGCAGCAAGTCTTCTTTATGGGGCAGTTAAATGAGAATGATAAAACAGCTTTTTAGATATCTACTGTAGAAATAAACCCTTTATCATATGAATACAGCACCACAACTACTAATTGATCACTATTCTATACAAAAGGCTATACGCCATAGGGAGAAATATTGACAATAATACCAATGCCTAAGCATCATTAGTGGTTTTGTTTATCTTCAAATGATTAAAAATCATTTCATCATCTAACCTTCATCTCCTCTTGGACTCAAATAAAATAAAATCTTTAAATATAACCTGAACTTTTTCTTGGAGTCAAAACCCCTACAGGCTGTGTTGAAAACCTCCAGCTTGATATTTTGGGTTTTACAGGTTGATTTTAAAAGTTTTCCAAAAGACTTTTTTCAGCCTGTTTGGACTTTTTAATAGTATTTGTGTAATTTCTCACAAAGAAGGGCTTAACTGGTTTTGTTTGTTTGTCTGTCTGTTTTTGTTTGTGTTTTTAGCACTCCAAATAGCCTATCTCCATACCTTTATATCTCTGTCTTTTTACTTGTAGGGCACATTGGCTCCTTGCTCTGTGACTAGCAGAAGGCAGAGTGAGAGTCATTGTGTCCATATCATGTCGCATACCCACAAAAGTGCTTTCAGGATGAATCTTCAGGATTGATCTCTGATGACAGAATAGGGTTTCATTTTTCCATGTTAAGGGAGAGACATTCTCTTTCCCTTTAGATATTTTGCTACTTGGTTAACTCTTCACTATCTTATTTCATGTCTTGGGCAGGCAGCCTGGAATGGCAGAGTGCTCTGCATAGACTTAGACTTGGATTTAAATCCTGACTCAGCACCTAGAGGCTCTGTGACTTTCAGCCAGTCACTTAACTCCTCTTGCCTCAGCTCACCTATAAAATGTAGAGAACACCCACTTTATCCTCCATAGCTTGGGATGCTTATAACATGCCTTATTCAGTCCTTAGAAAGCAATAACCAAGAGCCCGCCTGCCATGGTGCTAGGAAATCCAAGAGGCAATCCCTCAGAGGTCACCCCAAGGATCTACTTTGACGGAATAAATCCTGTCTGACTTGTTCTTGTCTCTGACAGACCAAGGTCTCTCTTATGGCAGAAGTAGACAGGCTGGCATGTCACGTCCACATCATGGGCTAGGTAAAGTCTCAGGTTCACAAAGCAAAAACATGCAGCAGGAAGGCACCTTGTCCTGCAAGCGACACATGTTTGAGGGTGGATGTCCCTATCTCCAGTATTACAGTCACTGAGGGTGCCCGCAGCCTGCAGTATAAAGCCCCTTGCATTCCTTCATTCTGCATCTTTACAGGGCACTAGGTCAGCACATACTGAAGAGGATGACATGAGATGGCACTGAAAAAGGAGGTGACTCAGGACTGCTGAGACTTGCTTTTTTTTTTTTTTTTAAAGATTTTATTGGGGAATTGGAGGAGGGGAGCAGTGTTGGGGAATCAGGGAAGGGAAACGGACAAGTTGCTGTCCTTTTGTTCTTCAGTCTAGTTGTGGAGGACATCGCTTCACTGGCTCATGTTGGTATTATCATTGCACTCTTCCCGTGTGAGGCAGTTGCTCACCGGCCATTGGACAGCCGCTCACGGCAGCTCACAAAAGCTCATGCCCGCTGCCGGCCAGCCCCACTGCAGCCTACACCATCGCTGGCAACTCACGGCAGCCCACCTCCAGGTCACGCTGTTGTTCACCATCTTAGCTGTAGAGGGCGCAGCGTCACTGGCCCTCATGTGGGATCCAAACTGGGGCCCTGCTGCTCAGAGCTAGCATCCCAAGCCAACTCCTAACCAACGCACCACTCGGCTGGCCTGCTGAGACTGTCTTAATGAGAGATCATTGTCATTATCTCTGGCCTGCTGAGACTGTCTTAATGAGAGACCATTGTCATTATCTCTGTGCTGGGGTGGTTGTTATTCTGACATCAACAATTACTTGGTTTTATAACATACAGCTGCATTAAACATCCCATCCCATTCATACCTGCTTTTAATTTTTATTGGAGTCATACCCTTTTCCTTTTAAAACGTTCAGTTAAACCATAATTACACCAAAAGTGTCACTTTAAAGAGAGGGTGGTTTCATCACACAATAATACTATCTTCCGTGTGACTAATGTCTCGACCTTTTCATCCTACTTCACTTATACTTACCATAACCTCATAGAGAAGAAGGTATCAGGCCACACAAACCTTTCTTAGAAAAGAGAAGATACAGAAGAGTAAATTAATGCTTACAGAGTACTCATTTAAACTTTATAGCAACCCTGTGTAGCAGGCATTATCATCACTATTTTAAAGATATGACACTGAGGTTCAGAGATGTTAAGCAACACATCCAAGGTCACACAGCTAGTGAGATTGGAGCTAGGATTCAAATACAGGTGTCTGACTCTACATCTGTGCTTCACTCACTGCGTCCCCTTGTGCATAATGCATATTCTCATTTCAGGGAGGACTACGACTAAAGACTTGCACGGGGATCCCAACTGAATCTTTCTCAATAAGGCTGGATTTGGAGCCATTTATTTATTTTCTCTAAATCTCAGCCTCCTCACTTGTAAAATGGTGCTTGTAACACTGACATTGTGGTGGTGGTGTAAGAATTAAAACTCATATCGAGAATGTGTGTTTATAGTGGGTAATAAGTGTTGTCTCTTCTTACTGTCATTGTTATTCGTGAGGGAGCAGGTCTCCGAGGATCTACTTAAGTGGTCTTTCCTCAGCTCATTCCAAAGGTCCAAGTTCTTCTGTGTACTCTCAGAAAGGGTACCCTGTCTATGAATAGTCAGAAAGACTCGTGCTGTTTTCTGTCATCCTCTGCTGGCATGTGGTGGGGTTTGTGAGGAGAGAAGCAGCCCCCAGAGCTGGGCTGTGGGATGTTGAGGCCTCTTTCTGGATATCGTTGCTCTCTGGTGGAATGGGCATACGTGCCATTTGGTGGGAGCTGGGCCATGGAGGGAATTCCAACTTCAGGCTCCTTCTCAGGTTGCCAGGGATCTCAGAGACTATCATTGTCAGAACACTCCAGGTGATGTCTAGATCCTCTGCTAGCTGAAAACTCCAAATAATACCCCCATGAGTTCCAAAAGTAAATGTCCCTGGGCCTAAGACCATCCCAAATGTACAGCTGGTAAAGGGCTCTCACTGTTTATTTCCTATAGTTGTGAATAGCGAAACACTTTATAATTATAGCTCATAGTAAAAATTTCTCTTTTAGTGACTTATTTTTAGAACTGTTTTCAATAAGTATTTTGAAAAAAGCAGATTTTTTTTCTTATAATGGATTCCAAGAAACCTGAGTTAATCATCTATGAAATTTCTCTGAATTATTTGTACTAGGTCAGATGAGAAATAGCATTTCTTTAAAGAAACTCCTTATTTGATCACTGCTTTGCATTTCACTCACCTTGAACTAAATGATCTTTTCCTGGGAACAAGAGAGGCTTCTTGTTCCTTACTTGAAATGAAGTTCCATTTAAAATACACATGTGTTGAGGGCCTGCCAGGTACTAGCCACTGTTCTAGGCAAGAGGGTGAGGGGTACCCAAAGATGAATGACATGTGGTCTCTTCCATCACGCATCTCACAGCCTGGTGAGGGCCATGGATCCAACACGAGTGATAAGAGCACATTAGACTTTTGGCCTACTTTAGCAGACATGAAACACACTGCATTTGATTCAAATGGCATTTATGAAGTTCATTGCAAGTGCTTGTATTTCATAGGCAAATTACAGTTCAAGTTTACAGTCTCAATCTGGTGCAAATTACATTCATTTCCATGTTACTTGTTCATTTCTAACCTCACATCTTTGGCTACAGTACTAAAGTAATGGCTTTCCTACCTGGCTCTTAAACTAGCTTTGTAGGTGTTCGGCATAGGAGGAGCCTCTTTTGCTAAACTCACAGGTGGGCTTTCCATTTGTTGACTGAAATTTTTAGATAATATGCTTGTAGATCACTAGGTTTGGGCATATTTCCTTAAAAGCATAACTTGCCATTTTATAGATGAATCTTATGGGTTGGCAAATTGACTCAGAAAGCAAAAGGAACAGCTAAAGATGAATGTTAATGTGTAATTGCTTTTTCATTTTTTTCCCCATTTCCCATCTGTCACTTTTGATCTTCTCTTAGGAGAGCTGTACTATTTATATTGCAGTATGGAGATTATCAAGTATTTCTACTTAAATTACATTTTTCATAGTATACAGGAGTCAAAACTCGTTAAGAAAAATCATGCTTTACGTTATAATTTTTCTACATTGCTTGATCAAATTCATCTTTATTCTCACCTCCACATCTATTGCAAATGGCCTTTTCTTCTGTCTCCAGGCTGTAAAGAGAGGGATCTTTGGGAATGTCCAGCCAATAAACAGTGTTTGAAGCACACGTTCATCTGTGATGGATTTCCAGACTGCCCTGATAACATGGATGAAAAAAATTGCTGTAAGTGCTTACGTGAATTTGTCAGCACAACATTTTACTTTAAATACTAATTACCTCTCATTTGAATATAAGCTAGAAATTTGGAAATATGTATTAAAAACTTTTAGTATTTTCATACCTTTTGACCAAAACTCCACTTGTAAGAATATGTGCCAAGAAGACGATCAAACATGTGTAAAATATATGCACAATGATATTATCCTAGAATTATTTATACCATAGAAAAAATTAAAACACCACCAACACCCATAAATAGGGGACATACAATGCAACCATAACATGAAATAATATGCAAATGTTAAAAATCAAATTAGAAGAATAATTTCCCCTGGGTTCATTACATATATTAGGTGAATAAAACAAAATGTGATGAATTATGTGTATTATTGTCCTGAGTTTTGAAAGTACATATACCCACATATAGAAAAATATCAGAAGGTCATAATAAAAAGCTTACAATTATAATCCCTGGGTGGTGGGGTTATTAAGTTTTTGTGCTTTCCTGTCTTTTCTACCTTTTCTAAATGAATGGCCACTACTTTGAGAATCAGAAAAAAAAAAATTGTCTCTTAAGATGTTTTACTTACTAGTTACAGAAAACCCAACTCAAACCAACTTAAACAATGAAGACTTTTATTATCTTTCATTAGCATTTGTATCATGTATGACAGGGGTCAGCAAACTTTTGAGACAGAAGAGCCCATCCTGTCCCTCGAAGTTTTGCGAGACCTATAAAACAAATGAAATCACCACTATGTGAATAATATCCTTTACAAATTCTATAAATGAAACTATGATAGTTTTACTTTCATTTTCAATTTTACTTCAGAGCCACATGTACGTACCAAATAGCCGCATGTGGCTCACGAGCCGCAGTTTGCCGACCCCTGATCTGTGACATATTATCATAGAAAGAGTCAAGTGTAGGGGGGATTCGTGAGGCTGGGTGCAGGAGTTCAGCACCTCTTTTGTGATTCTGTTAGGCTTGAGTTCAGAAGTGGCTCCCACCAGGGTCAAAAGGTGGCTCCCAAAACCCCCTGGGGCACCATGCTTCCTTGATATATCCAGTGGGAAGGAGTAAGAACCTCACCCTTATCTCGTGAACATCAGTTAGGTATCCACCCAGACTGGCCAACCTTAAGCAGGGTCTCGGTCAGGAGCTAGCAGTCAGAAGCCTTTGTGTAGATTAGAAAAGACACCACCTAAACTAAAACAACTGAAATGCAAAAAGAGGCACCCATTACGGAGAACCAATCAGAGACAGAGGCTGATTTCTTCAGGCTGCCTCTGTCCCAGTCTAGGGAGGACACATTACCTGGCCAGCAGGATTTGGGCAGGAAATATCTTGCAAAGCACAACCCACAAAACCATAGGCCAAGACCCTGATCTTGGATCATGTGTTTATTCTTGGACTAATAACTGCACTCAGAAAGAAGGGAAAAAAACAACAATAACAAAAAACAATTGTAGTTTGAAAAATGCCGATGTCCCACTTAAACAAATCAGAACCTTCCTCTAGAGCTAAGGATGGGGAAGGGGCGGGAGGCTGAACAAAATCAGTTTTCCTTAAAAAAAGGAGAAAGAAAAGAGACAGATGCTAGATAGGCAATCAAGGAGTTACATTATGAGCTTTAAGGAGGGCACAGCGCACAGTGGCCCATGTAGGGATCGTACCGGCAACCTTGGTGTTATCACCACCATGCTCTAACCAACTGTGCTAACCGGTCACCCCTCACTATGAGTTTTAGAAACCTAAGAGAGAATTAGAATGTGACTCAGAGAGTCATTTAATAGTAGAAATTTTTTAAAGTAAACATTATCCATATAAGTGGACGTGGCTGGTTTTTATCATATGGTGAAGACTTCAGTCTGCTCATCCCCAGTGCTCTGCGCACGCCACTTCAGATTTTAACCCTGTTAGCCAGTCTTTAGTATTCCTGCTGCTCTGAGGACCACTTTTTCAACCCTTTCTTTAGAACTAGAGAATCTAGTCACTGGAGATAGTAATTCTGTTTAAATGCTTGCTATGTGTATGGACTAACATCTATGAAATGCGATTTTACTGATTTTGTTCTTCTGTCTTGACACGTGTCTGGAGGCCTCAGTGACCTCATATTTTCTTCCTTCCATGGCCCTGCTGGCCAATGATAATGTGCATGTTAGTGATAATCACATTTATCTGTAAAATGCTTCTGTCTTCTTGTTCCTTGTTCCCCATACCAGCATTTTGCCAAGATGATGAACTGGAATGTGAAAACCACGAGTGTGTTTCACGGGACCGGTGGTGTGATGGCCAAGCTGACTGCTTAGACAGTTCAGATGAATGGGACTGTGGTAAGTTGCTTGTTTCTGCCATCTGCTGTGCACTCTAGTGCCTGCCAGCCATTTAAGCTAAATGAATCCTAAATGACTGCATGGATTTTTGCTAACCAAGTTCATCTATTTTGATTTACTGTTGCAAAAGCTGACAGTGGTGATTCACATGTCATTTCCAACTCATAGAAAATTCCGCCCCCCGCCCCCAAGTTACTTCTCTATTTGAATTGTCTACATTATGTGTAAAAAAAATATTTGAGTTCAAATTGTTATGACCTTACAACTGACAGAATATAATTTTTAAATTTATCACCCAGCTTTGACAATTTTCAGTATGCTGTCATTCTTGTATTATTGACACCCTATGGAATAGGGTATTAAAGTGGCCCTTCTACCGGCCGAGTGGCGCGTTGGTTAAGAGCTGGCTTGGGATGCCAGAGGGCCCCGGTTCGGATCCCACATATGAGGGCCAGTGACACTGCCCTCCACAGCTAAGATGCTGAACAACAGCTCGACCTGGAGCTGGGCTGCCTGTGAGTCACTGGCGATGGCATAGGCTGCAGCCCCTGCTGCAGTGGGTTGCCAGGGGCTTCCATGTGTAGCCAGCAGCCAGAGTGACTGGCCAGCAGCCACTGTGAGTGGCCATCCAGAAGCCGGCGACTGATCTGCCTCGCCAGGGAAGAGCGCAATGATGGTGCCAACTTGGGCCAGTGAAGCAACGTCCTCCACAACTAGACTGAAGAACAAAATGACAGCAACTTGTCTGTACCCCTTCCCCCAATTCCCCAGTGCTGTTCCCGTCCCCCAGTTCTCCAATAAAAAAAAAATCTAAAATAAATAAATAAATAAAATAAAGTGGCCCTTCTATTGTACCTGTACTCATGTTCCCCATCCAAATGGGACTTCTCACTATTACTCCCTTACATGGACAGGATCTCCCATCAATCAGTACCTCCAATGTTGCAGTTTGTAATCTTGAGTTTGATTCATCTTGTCATCCCACGCGCATCACTCGTTCCATTCACTTCCCTCTTATTTCAGTCCTTTGCGGCATCTGGCTAGATCTTCGTTATCATGTGTGTTGTGATTAATTGCTCACAAATGACCTGTGGTTTATTAAGTAACAGAGGATGTTCTTTCACCAAGTAGGAATTAGTGCATATACCAAATTAATCCTAAATTAGTATCACCATCGCACGCTTGAATTCTCACGTGCTTTCTTTTTATTATTATTATTATTAATTATTATTAGTTTCAGGTGTACATAATTTAATATATATATATATATATATTATATATATAGTCTCACATGCTTTCTTGAAAGGAAATGATATGAAGTGACAACTTAGCTCCTTGTAATTATGCAAATCACTGGGTAAACTTGTGAAAAGAGACCCTGCCTCAGGCCATCTTCTAAGTGAAGATAAGAACTGCCTGTCTCTTTACTAGAGTCTATGGTCCTTAGAGGGCAGAAAACATTTCTAATTCATTTTTTGTCTTTCACCACACTGAGAGCCGTAATTTGCACAGGGTAGGTATTCACCAAATAGTTCTTAACTAAAATAAATAAAAATGAATACATACAAGTGAAGCAAAGGCACACAAAGTTATCATTTGGTTTCCTGAGAGGAAATGTTTTAAATTAAGGTTTTTTTCTTTTTCTTTCTTTTTTTTTTAAATTTCTCAGTGACCCTCTCTAAAAACGCGAACTCCTCTTCATTCCTGACTGCTCACAGATCTGCCGCAGAACACCACGTGTGCGGGGATGGCTGGCAGGAGAACCTGAGCCGGCTGGCCTGCAAGCAGATGGGTTTAGGGTAAGGTCAGTAGTTTGTAGCACTGATGAATTTCTCAGAGGGCTTCACAGAACCTGGCAATAATCTCTTCCTTATGAGTGCGCAGTGAGTGAGCCGCTCGCAAACAGAGCCCTCCACAGCACCGGAAATGAATCAGGTGAGGGGACCGCGTTTAATGACAGGCACCTGCTCTGAAGGGGCTAGGTTGAAAGCCCGCTTTGATGAAACCTCTCAAAGTAAATGAAGTAATTGTAATTTAAGTACTTCTGAAACGAAATGCTTTCATTATTTATAAAATCATTAAGGTGGCTTCCTCCGAGGAAGCTGGATGGAAAAATGTTGCAATTTCCCCCCTAGAGGTTATTGAAAATTCCTTTTTAAGCAACACGCATTTTTTAATAAATTGAGAAATAGAACTTGAAGTTGCTGGTATTTCAATTTACGCTAAGTAATGCAGGACATGTAGATCAGGAAATAGTTCACCACTTTTGCTTCATAGTAGAATAAAAAGACACTCTGGCCTTGATACAAGCACACTGAAATAGATACGATGAAAGTGGGGTACTTGCTATTTTGTGGGGTTTTTTTTCAGTTTTATCAGGGAGAGAAAGCAATAAATGAAGGGTCCAAAAAATTGAATATTTATATGAGTGTGTATGTGTGCGTGCATATATATTTTTT